TAGGAAAATGAATACCCGTTTGTTAGCATAATTCTCTGATAGGATAAAAAATACAAGATTATTTAGGCCATCATAGTAGAAAATAAGCAGCAATCACCATTAGGTAGAGTGTAGTGAGGTTGTTATCAAATATTGTAGCAAATATCACAATTAAAACCAAAGGTCAGGCTAAACAACGTTCTTACTTATACGGAATTGCTACGCCTGCAGGAAGCCAAGTCTCAGCCAAAAGGCGAAACAATTCAAGGTTGTTTTTCAGTGCCAAAGCAACACCTTCGGGGACACTGTCAACGTGATCTTCATCAGAGTCGGGGAGAGATGGAATCCAAGTGTTTTGCATTAAATATGCAAGAAGAGATCGGGCCGCCGATAATTCGACCTCACTGGATGGCAGACTGGCATTAGACACGCCCCATTCACCCAGAAGGAGGCAGAGATCGATGCTGAGGGACGACAAACCGCAGGAATCCACCAGAGCTTCTGCACCCGAGCAAGCATAGGTGATGAGTGCTGGAAGCCAAATTTTGGCGAACGCCTTGAATAACTGGAACAGACATGTGTCCTTGGCATTACATTAAATTAATCGATCGCGGTGATAAAAAAACGGAGCTTAATCCCTCAAAATTGTTGCCAATTAACGTGCCTGTGCGCACTTTGGTGAATTAAGACGTTTCGCTTAGCGCAGATACGGAGCGTCAACTCAACAACCAGATTTTTAAATAAGCATAAATTTGTAAGAAAGCGAACATTTCAATTTTTGCTAGCCTGCTTCCTATAACGTTGCAACGTTGCACCATTTGGTAGCTGCAAACTGGCAACATCAGTGGGCAATGCTTACATTCATATGATCTGCTTATAAACGTGCATTGCGTGCCATGCTTCTGCCCAAATTACCTCGGTGCAGTTGATTATCACTTTGACCACAAATGCGCGAACATTGTCGTTGGAATGGCGAGAGATAAACTGTTCGTAGAGAAATTGGAGAATAGGGGGCATGCGATTCGGGCCTACGGGCTAAATGGAATGATTGAAGAAGGCATTTAATAAACATGCGTTAGTAGGTGCTAGACATAGGGGCTTGTCACCGACCTTCAGGAAACCCAAACGGTGCATGTGTTTTAGCAATCCCACGAAGCATACCATCACAGAAGTTGTGTTGAGACAATCGACTTCCAGATTCACCTGAACTGCTCCAGCCCTTTCGCCTTGATTGAAATTGACAGAGTTTGCAGGTGGCGGTGATGTAGACCCTTTGCTTGAACTAATCCGCTTCGTTAAGTCCGTCGAAGTATTGGACTCTCTTATGATCTGAGTGGATTTTGTAAAACTATTCCTCATAAAGCGATACTGATTTCTTGGCCCAGACTTAAAAATTTAGCAGTGTTGTGGAAGAGTCGTAAAAAGAATTCCAGACGTGAAAGATATTGATAGGCGCCCTTCTCGTTCATTTCACCGTAAAATTCAATAATGAGATTTTGTACACCAAGTTTCAGCATTACCTGGGTTCCTGAAGTTCGCATGAACTGATTGATCTCCGCGGTAAAGCTGCTACCCTGGAGAAGCTCACCCCGATTTGGAACTCCGAAAGCTGCTGCCTTCCCGACATATTTCGTCGGCTGGATCCGCAGGTAGGGTTCTCA